ACGCGGAGGGTGTTCGGCGAGGCGCTGCTACCCAGGTAGCGCCGCCGTGGCAGGACCGCGGTTTGGGGTGCAGCGCCAGGGTGCCAGTGGCCCAGCGCTTGCACCAGGGCGTCAGTGGCCGGGCGCTTGGCTCAACTCGCTATTGCGTGCAGCCGCCTGCGCAGCGGGGAGCTGGCGGAGGGTGGCTTGGAGGTCAGCTTGCTTGCGCACGTCCCGACGGAGGGAGGATTGAGTGCTGGCGCGAGGGCGTCCTGGGCGGCCTCGGCCTGTGCAGCCTCGGCGCCGTGTTGGCGTTGCAGGTGTGGCTGTGCTTGCATGAGGGCCTGGACCCTGAGGTGGACGGCGGCGTAGTTGGCGTCGAGGTTTTGCTTGTCGTCGTTTGGACGTGTGCGTTTGTCTCGGCGAGGACGATCGAGGAACATCTTGGACCATCTTGCAGAATAATAAACGCACGAAGTCGACAAATGCACGGGGAATGAACGTCCGAGCGATGGCGAGTTTGAGCCTCGGCAGCCGTGGCCAGTGGGCCGTCGGTGGCGGTCAGGGTACGGCCAGCGAGACCGAAAGGATCGGCTTCGCTTAAAACCAAAGGGACAGCACGCGCGAGTCGGTCTGGTTGCTTGGGCGGGCGGCGGTGCGATCCAGGCGGCCCAGGGGTCCGGTGTGTGTATATATATATATATGTATATGTATATATACATATGTATATATGTGTATATATATACATATATGTATGCATGCATGCATGCATGCGTGTCTGTCTGTCTGTCTGCCTGCCTGTATGTCTGTATGTATGTATGTATGTATGTATGTATGTGTGTATGAATATTTGTATGCCTGTCAGTCTCTGTCTCTGTCTGTCTGTCTGTCTGTCTGTATGTATGTATGTATGTTTGTATGTATGTATGTATGCATGTATGTATGTATACATGTATGAATGTCTGCCTGTATGTATATATGCATGCATATATGTATGTAGGTGTGTAGGTACGGGTGTTTGTATGCATGCACGAATGTATGTATGTATGTATGTATGAATGTATGTGGCTGCATGTATGCTTGCATGCACGTGTCTATGATTGCATGCATGCATGTCTGTGTGTATGGTTGTACGTGTGTATGTATGTTTGCATGTATGTATGTATGCATGCATGCATGCATGCATGCATGCATGTATGTATGTATGTATGCATGTATGTATGTATGTATGTATGTATGTATGTATGTATGTGAGTGTCTGTCTGCCTGCCTGCCTGTCTGGCTGTCTGTCTGTCTGTCTGTCTGTCTGTCTGTCTGTCTGTCTCTCAGTGTATATATATGTACACACGTGCCGAGGTCGTTATATGTAGAGACGATGAGGGAGAGAGAGAGAGAGAGATGGAGAGAGAGAGAGGGGCATAGAGAGATAGAGAGATAACACAAGAGAGCAACACACACATATATATATATATATACATATGGACAGGGAGAAAGAGAGAAGGAGGGAATCGTTTTACCATAGCTGGCACCGAGGACCACTGCTCCCAGTCCGGGGCAGTCGCCTTCTGCGCGATCAAGGAGGGCGAGGGTGGCAGCGAGCTGGAAGGAGAGGGCGAGATCCGCTACGACGACCCCGCGCACGCCGTGCAGGCCCCGCCTGCGGAGAGGGCAAACATTCCAGCCACCCCTGACGGGCTCGGATCGCGACCAGCGCACCTCGTGCCATCGAACGACACAGGCCGCGACGGCGACGGCGACGACGACGACGACGCAGCCCTGCGACAGGGGCAGGGCTGGGCTACAGGGCTCCTTCGGCGCGCCCCTCGCCCTGCGAGGACAGCACAACCCACCCCCCAACCCCCAGCCAGGACCCCCACTCCCGTCCTGGTGATCCAGGGTGTCCTGGCTAGGGGTGAGGGTGGTCCAGCGGCCCCGAGAAACCTACCCCAAACCCCAGCCAGTACCCCCTGGATCACAAGGTCGGGAGTAGAGGTCCTGGCTGCAGGTCAGGGTGGTCTGTGTCGGCCCCCGAGCCCACAGAAAAGCCACCCTCACCCCTGGCCAGGGCCCCTCCCCCCAGACGTCCGACCGTTCCACTTACTCCCCTGCGTGGGCCCCAGAGGTCTGGACCACTTCTGGTTTTTCGTCCTGAGCCGTTTTTGACGGTCCCATGGCCTGGCGGGGGCTCCATGAGGCCGAAGCTTACCAACAGCCCGCCGCTCCATTTTTTTCTGAGCGTCGGATCTCTGGGCCTAGATCATCAGGTCGGCAGTGGGAGTCCTGGCTGAGGATTGGGGTGGTTCGGTAGCAAATCATGGCAGCCTGGTGTACCCTCTTAATTGTGTTATTAGCATTGGTTGGCGTCGATTAGCGTCTGGGGGTCGATGATCTAGGGCCGATCTAGCGTCGGCTAGCCCCGATTATCGTCGATTTATCGTCCATCAGCGTCGATTCAGCGTCGATCAGCGTCGATTCGCAAGAGCCGACAAGATGGTACGGGAGGCTCCCATGAGTTGCCACCGAAGGGTGGGTTGTGCTGTCCTCACCGCCGGGCCCCCGGGCTTACCAGGGCGGTGGGCCCGCCCGCTCTGGGAGCTCACTCGGAGGCGCAGCCCAGCCCTTCCGCCCGCCCTCAATTCGTGAAGCTGTTGCAGATCTTCAAAAAGAATGTGCGTGGCGCTAAGGCGAGAGCCACATTTCCGCCCTCAGTCCGTGAAACTCTCGCACATGTTTAAAAGGATGGTGCGCGACGCTAAAGGCGAGAACCGCATTTCGAAAACGACCCGCCCTCAGTCCGTGAAGCTCATGCAGCTTGTTAGAACGAATGTGCGCGGCGCTAGGGCGAGAGCCACATTTTGAAAACGACCCGCCTCCATCTGTGAAGCTGTTCCCAATGTTTAAAGTTCAGGGTCATGAGTGGTGAGGAAGTCTCGGACGAAACGCCCAGCCCACTCAAAAAAATGCTTCGGGGTGCGCGGCCGGGAGAAGTTATTTATAAGGCAAAAGGAATGGAGGAGGAGGAGGAGAAGGAGGAGGAGGAGGAGGAGGAGCAGGAGGAGGAGGAAGAGGAGGAGGAGGAGGACCAGTTAAACCCAAGAGTCATCAACGATGTTGGAATAAGCCCTCACTCCAAGCTCCCTCTTCATAGGCCCCTTACAACGGTTCATGTCCACTGATGGAACTGCCTTGTTGGAAGACAACCGTTTGACGACCTTGAAGCATGCCCAAACATTCTTTTCGGAATTCTGACGCCACGGATCAGACTGACTGTTGCGTCTTGACGATCCTGAATCATGCCAGAAATCCATTCCTGGGATTTCACCGCGAATCAACGTAACTGCTGGGCCCTCGTAATCCTGAATCCTTCCACAACGCCACTTCTGGTACGCTGATCATGGAACATCCGTGAAACGCCTGTCACTTTTAAGACAACGAGTGTGCGCGGCGTTGAAGCGAGAGCCACATTTTGAAAACGGCCCGCCCTCAATCCGTGAAGCTCTTGCAGCTTTTAAAACGAATGTACGCGGCACTATGGCGAGAGTCGCATTTTGCAAATGGCCCGCCCTCAATCCGTGAAGCTCTTGCACTTTTATAACGAGTGTGGGTGGCGTTTAGGCGAGAGCCACATATTGAAAACGGTCCGCCCTCAATCCGTGCTGGTCTTGTATTTTCCAAAACGAATGTGCGCGGCGCTAGGTCGAGAACCACATTTTGTAAACGGCCCGCCCTCAATCCGTGAAGCTCTTGCAGTCGTTTGGAACGAATGTGCGCGGCTCTAAAGCGAGAGCCACATTTTGAACACCCCCCGCCCTCAATCCGTGAAGGTCTCGCGCTCAGGCGAGAGCCACATTTTGAAAACGATCCGCCCTCCATCTGTGAAGCTGCAGCCAATTTTTAGCTTCAGGGTCATGCGTGGTGAGGAAGTCTGAGGCGAAACGCCCAGCCCGCTCTAGATTTTTTCAGGGTGCGACAGGGAGAAGTTATTCATAAGGCAAAGGAATGGAGGAGGAGAAGGAGGAGGAGAAGGATGAGGAGGAGGAGGAGGAGCCCCAAGGGGGCGACCTCGATGCGTGGGCGGCGCATCGGGGCCCCTGGGGGAACTGAATTCCGCCAAGACGTCGCTTGCGGCGCCGCGGCCAAGGGGCGTTGGTGCCCTGGCGGGCCTGGGGCGGCCCCCCGACTCTACCGGGTAATCCCCGTGCGGGGTCGGTCTGCCGTCTCCTCAGGTCCAGGACCTGAGACGGCCGAAGGTCTGGGGACCTGAATTTCTGGGGCCGCGTGGGTAACCCTCCAAGGCTGGCGCGGCCTGGTTCTCCAGTCTGCGTCGGCCTGCGTGGTGCCAGCCTGTGCGGGGGCTGGCTCTGGCCACTGTTGGGGCCCGCCCGTGACGTCGGGGGCCAGAGGGGTCGACTCTCGTGGAGAGTACGGCTCAAGACGTGTACCGGCTGTCCCCTGGCCCCCCTTGGGCAAGGGGGCCTGTGGCGCCCGCCATCGGCGGGTTGGTGGTGCTCCCGGCGCTCCACGCGGCGAGCCTGGCGCCTCTTCTTTTCTTTTCTTTTCTCTTCTTTCTTTTTCCTCTCTCTCGGGCTCTCGGGCCCCGCCAGGAGTTTGCGACCCCTAGTTCCCCAGGGGGTCGCGGGGCGGCGGGCGTGCCCCGCCACGCGATGGTAAGGCGCGTCGCGTGTTCGTGCAGGTTCGCTTCGATCCTGCGGTGCCCTTCGGTCCGTCGTCGGCGGGGCGTGGCAAATGGCGGTTGCAGGGTGCGCTCCTTGTCGCGTCGTTTCTCGGAGGCTGAGGTGCTATAGACTCTGTAGCCCCGAGGTTGTGCCCAGGATGAGGAGGAAGAGGAGGATGAGGATGAAAAGGGAGCCCGTGGGGTTCAGGCGTGTGCCCGAGGAGGGGCCATTTGCTTGCCCTTGAGGGCCTCTGTCTGCCCCTTGCTTCCCCGCCCCGCCACGGTCTCGGCAGTCTTGCTTCAGTGCATCACGCAGGAGATGGATAATGGCTGGCCCTTTGCGCGCGTGCGGACAGGCTCATCATGCAGGTCTGTCTGTTCCCCGTCTGGGCGCCGACAATGCGGGACAGCCTCATGATCAGTTTGTTCCAGATGATATGCATACGATATCGATAACGCTATCGTTGTGGACCACGGGCGCAAGATTTCCAAATGCAATTCCCACATCCGCTTTGTCGTGAAACCCCTTCTGGTCCGCTACGAGGGCATCTCTCTACGCCGCAAGCCATGCGCCCTGCGAGCCCGGAGGACCCCGCGCCGAGTCCATCGGGGCACTCCTGGCGCACGAGAAGGGGGAACCGTCCAGCGCCCAGCCGCCTGGCGAAGATAGCGCAGCTGGCCCGTGCTCTGTGGCGATGGAGAGAGAACCATGCGCCGCGAAAGACGCCGATGTTGATGGGGTGAGGCTCCAAAGGCGCGGAGAAGGCCGACGATGTTCAACAACGCAGCGATACGCGTACATTCGCCCCTGGCACGGCCGCACGCCATGTCGGCCTCAATGCCAAGCCAAAGCTGGATGGGCGCGGAGATCCCCGAGCTTGTACGACGACGCTGGCAAGATGGGTGCTGAGGCCATTCGTGTCAAGGCTGCTTGTCTCGAGCCCATTGGCTCCCGACCCAGCAATTTCTTCGGCATTGCGTTCCAAACGGCCGATTTCGAACATCAGCAGCGGGACCCCGTGGCCAATGACCAGGTGTTCCAGATGTTGTGCGACCTTGCCATTCGAAGGGCGGTGTGTGGTAGCAGTTCTTTCTTGCATGCCTTCACCGACAACGCCGTCTTGGACAAGCCGTGCTGCCACACGGTCGCCAGCAACTCTGATACCGTTACAGTTAGTAGCGCTCATCAGCCACGTCTTGGCACGCCGATCGCTTCGGTTTGATGCCGTTCAATTTGCCGTTCGGGTTTGCCTTTCTGTCGGTTGGAGTTGCGCACGCGGGCGGTACAGTCAAGACGCTGAAATAAGGAACAGTTTGGGTTCGGAAGGGGCTCGATGGTCCTTAGGTTTCTCCAATGCTGCTCCCCTTGCCCTCCTGGGGCACGGAGGCGCTTACAGGGCCAAGAAGGGGCTCCCTTCTTTATTCAGCGTTCCTTCTTTCAAAGGCCCGACTGTATTGCGTCCAGTGTCATGCAGTCACTCGATCCTCTGGGCGGGTATTCTGCATTCGAGCTCCCGCGGGTGAGATTCAATTGCGCTCTCGTCGCGTATTGTGGACACCGCAAACTTTCGTCTCCAAAAGCTGTTGGAAGGAAAAGAAGGATGATGATGATGATGATGATGATGAGGAGGAGGAGGAGGAGGAGGAGGAGGAGGAGGAGGAGGAGGAGGAGGAGGAGGAGGAAAGGGAGGAGGAGGAGGGAGGAAGAGGAGGAGAAGGAGGAGGAAATTGAAGAGGAGGAGGAGGAAGAGGAGGAGGAGGAGGAGGAGGAGGAGGAGGAGGAGGAGGAGGAGGAAGAGGAGGAGGAGGAGGAGGAGGAGGAGGAGGAGGAGGAGGAGGAGGAGGAGGAGGAGGAGGAGGAGGAGGAGGAGGAGGAGGAGGAGGAGGAGGAAAAGGGGGAGGAGGAGGACGAGGAGGAGGAGGAGGAGGAGGAGGAGGAGGAGGAGCTTGCCGCTGCATCCCCGCTGCGGGCGATATAGTTCTTTCAATCTTTTTGCCCTTTCCACGCCGAAATAGTCAGCGGCCACCCGGGGATCGCACAGCAAGTCGCTTGCGGAAAGCCCCGACACCACACCACAGCAGCATTAAGAAACTCGAGTTTAACATATTTTCCTGTTCATTGCCCTGTTACTCGGCGCAGGCTTTGAAACCCCCAGCTTGTTCGCAGCCTCGTTCTCCTGTTCGTTCCTCCCTTTCTCCTCCTCCTCCTCCTCCTTCTCCTCCCTTTCCCCCTTCTTCTCCCCGCCACTACGCTCGTCTGTGACACGCTGTCCGCTTGCAAGGCATAGCGTGTCGCCGGGGCCGCCGCGGCGACGCGGTATGCAGAAGTTCCCGGCCGTAGGACAGGGATTCAATCCTTCCAGAGCGTGCGGGAACGCCCTCGGAGCGTTCTAGAACGCTCTGAGAAGGCCGCGGCGCCCGATGCATCCTCCAGAGCCGCCAGATCTCAGGGATGACCGATGTACCCCTGTCCCATGTTGTTCCTGGCTTGGCCCCTCGACTCGTGCAGGGAGGAGGGCCGAGGAAGGGCGGCGCCCTGACGCTGCCTCTGGTTCCTTCCCCCTGCTCCTGCTGCTGTTGCTGCGCAGCGTCCCCTTCCTCCTCCTCCTCCTCCTTCCTCCTCCTCCTCCTCGTCCTCGTCGTCCTCCTCCTCCTCCTCCAACTCTTCGTCCTCCTCCGCCTCCCCCGTCGGTCCAAAGAGGGGGCTGATGGGGGACGCCTGAGACGCGATGAATCACCGCAGACCAGGCCACCCTGACCCAACACGAAGGCCCCGAGTTGCCCTCCATCCCAGTGGGGGATGGGGTAGGGGATCTTCGGAACAGCGGCATTATGAAGCCCCTACAACCCCCCAACCCGATACTTGGGTCTTCGGGTTGGGTTGGGGTAGTCTGGTAGGTAGTCAATCGAGAGAAAGAGAGAGAGAGAGAGAGATAGAGAGAGAGAGAGAGATAGAGAGAGAGAGAGAGAGAGCGAGAGAGAGAGAGAGAGGGAAACTGATCGTCAATGGTGCCCTTATCTTGCCTTACGGTACGTTCGCGTCGTGTCGACTGGCGACGACCCCGCCGCCTGCGTTCAACGTTGAATGCCGCCAGCGACCCAGAATCGGTTGACGTTGCAGGTTTTGGCGTATCGGAAACGGCCTGGGGACGATTTTCAATTATTTCTGATTATTTTTGCATTCTGTTTGGCTATTTTCAGTTTCTCTTCCAAAATCCGCCTGCAGGAGGACATGCCCGACCTAAGTCTACCCATGAGGCGTGCCTTTCTGGGTATGGGCTCGGAGTAGATGGTGCCAGGGTAGTGCGACGCATCGCCGATGCATCGGCGCTGCGGCTCGATGTCGAGCCCCGGTTTTCTCCACGCCGACGTCGCCGATGATACATCGCTGACGTCCTGGATGCATCGCCGATGCATCGCCGATGCGGCGCGATCTTCTGCCCCCGACCCCACGCGCTCGGACCCGATCCGGGAGGCCTTGCACCACGGGCACGGGACGCGGCTGGCCTGGGCAAAAGACAATTGTTGAGCACAGCAGACGAGACAAACGGCACAAAGAGCTGGGCACGCGCGTGGCCATCGTGTGTTCGGGTGCTCCGCTCGTCCATGGCCGTGCCAGCCTGGCTTCCAGACGCGCATCCAGCGCGCGGCTTCCCGATGCTCCAGGTGAGTCCATCCACGTGGGATTCCAGCTTTCAGGCCCCCTCCCTGCACTCCCGGCTCCTCCTTCAGGCCTCTCCCTCTTCTTCTCCTTCTTCTTCTTCTTCTTGTTCTTCTTGTTCTTGTTTTTGTGACTATATCTCTTCTTATTCCTTTTATTTTTCTTCTCATTATGACTATTCCCCAAACAGTGGTTGCACTTATGAGTCCTTACTTGTCTCCCTAAGAAATTAGTTGGGTATGGCGATGGTTTTCAAGTTGCCGCTCGTGGCTGCCTCGTGCGCTGGGTGGGTCCAGCGAGTTTTCGCCACGCGGCCGCCCGTGGCCGCCTCGTGGCCGCCTCGTGCGCTGGGCGGATCACACCACATAGCTTAGACAACATATCTTTCACATCCACAGGGCAGTAACCCACTGTTCGGGGTCCACGCTGGCTGATTTGATTTATGCTACTATTATTTTTATAATTCGTCCGGCCTCGCTCCACGGGATCGCTTTGATCATTGTTCGGTGTCCCGCTCACGGGTGTTGATGGTCAGCCTAACGCTGCTTCGCCTCACCCAGACTCTGACTAGCTGAATTGAGGTGTCGCGCCTTGCGGATCAAGATCCCCGTTCCACTTCTGGTTGTTATTGCTCCTTCACCTGACTCGGGGCAGTCCGCCGCACGAGATTGCCGCTTATATTTTGAGTATCCGTATTATTCATAATTGTTAGGTGTATTCTCATTTTTCGAATTGTTTTTGCTATTGTTATTGTTATCGCGATTGGTGTTGTTGCCATTGTTATTGCTAATGTTATTGTTGTTGTTGTTGTTGTTGAACATTATTACTTCTAAAGAATAATTATTGTTGGGACCCCTGGTGCACGACCCCCCCGCCGCGCCTAGGCCGCAGCCTCATTTTCATCATTTCCGTGAGGAAGTCTCAGGCAAAACGGGTTGGTCCGGATCCGGTTGTGTTGTTACGATCGGTTTTCCCTTGCAAACAATAAGCTAAAGTGGACATTTCTTGTTCTAACATAACCAAACTTCAAGAATCCCTTGCAAAAAATAAGGTAAAGTGGACATTCGCGCGCGCAAGACGAAATCCTTCCAAAACCTTAGTTTTCGTAGCGATTTTAACATAAAAACATCAAAAAACCAATGGTTTTTCAAAAAAAAAATGTCAAAATTTCATCCCGCGCGCTCTTGCGGATTCGTAGGAAACCCAACACTTTTTAATCATTTCTGTCAAACGGGCTTTTGCGAGCAACTTTTTCGAACTTCTGCAACAACGGTTGCGCACCTGCCAGGGCCATCATCCCTGTCAAATAATACCATGCGGGACACATTCGTTTTTTCTTCGCGCGCGCACGCCGTCGTCGTCGGCCGCGGGGCCCTGAATAGTAGCCACGGTCGTCCGCATGCCACGAAGTGAAGTGTCCGAACGTCATAGGGCGGGAAGCTGGGTGTGGGTGGTGGCGAAGAGTCGTTTGGAAATTTGGTAGAGCTTGAACCGGCCCCCCCACAAAGTGGGGGTATTGCCCGCCTCCTATGAAAACCCTGGCACTGGTGAGAACGGTGTGTCCCCACGTGCTAGTAATTGTTGTTGTTGTTGTTGTTGTTGTTGTCGTCGTCGTCGTCGTCGTAGTAGTAGTAGTAGTTGTTGCTGTTGTTGGTGTTGTAGTTGTTGTGGCAGCTAGTATTGATACGATGAGGGGTCGTATTATCGATTTTTTCAGTGTTGCTGTTGTTGGTTCGGTTCTCGTTGCTGCTGTTGTTGTGGTTCTTATTACCATTACCGTTATCATTATCAGTATTCTTGTTTATTATTATCCGTAGTCGTATTATTGTCATTGCCAGCTTACTGATTATTAGTATTGATAGTTTCAATGACATGTTATGCTTGTATTTGTTGTTATTCTTTTTCTTATTCTTATTCTTTTTATTATTAATAATGCTGTTGTTAACATTGTGTGTATTGTTTAGGTTGATGTTGTTGTCATTCGTATTATCAGTACTAGTATTACCACAATTTAAAGTATCAGCATTGTTTCATACTATTCCGTCTTATTAGTGTTAGTATTCATCGTCTCTTTCGCACTCGTCTCCCCATCTCTTCTTCTTCCCTCCCCCCTCCTCGCCTCCCTGCCGCAGGCGCTGTCGCTGGATGGGAGTGAGCTGTGCGGTGCGCCGCGCCGCCGCGGGGCAAGGGGGGTGGGCGGCGGGTTGGCGCCGCTGCGGATCGCCAAGCCACCTCGGCAGCTTCCCTGACATCCTCTCGTCATTATTCTCTTAAGCGTCCTTCTCCTCCTCCGCCTCTTCGTCCTCCTCCGCCTCCTCCCTCCTCCTCCTTCTCCGCCTCCTCCTCGTCCTCTACTTCCTCCTCCTCCTCCTCCTCCGCCCCCCTCTCCTCCTCCTCCTCCTCCTCCTCCTCCTCCTCCTCCTCCTCCTCTTCTTTCTCCTCCTCCTGCCCCTCGTCCTCCTCCTCCTTCTCGTCGTCCTCCTCCTCCTCCTCGTCCTCCTCGCCTCCTCCCCTCCGCCTCCTCCGCCTCCTCCTCCTCCTCCTCCGTCTCCTCCCCCTCCTCCTCCTCCTCCTCCTCCTCCTCTTCCTCCTCCTCCTCCTCCGCCGCCGCCTCCTCCTCCTCCTCCTTCTCCCCCTCCCCCTCCCCATTGCCTGGGGGGGTGGGGTGCGCGCGCCGAGTGCGCCGCGGGCTGGCGACCCCTCGCGGCAGGAGGAGCAGTGGTACGCCCGTGTTCAAACGCATCACGTGCGATGCTCCAAACCTCGTGGTTGACACGCTGCGTTTTGGCTTGGCGCGTGCTGGTCCAAATTTTGGCGAAAGCATCGCGCCAGACCTACGTTTTCAGTCTGAGTGTTGGGTTCCGTGCCAGCATGCCGCGGGTTGCGGGTTGCGTGTTTCGCGTCGGGGGGCAGCTAAGGAAAAACAGTCACGACGGGAGGTTTTTGCCCGAGCGCCTCCTCCCCGCCCGACAGGCTTCAAGTTTCCAAGTTGTCGCACGTTTTTGTCGGTTGTCGGTGGTTTTCTAGCCTCGGGATGCTCTCAGCAGCTTCGCCTCGCCAAGGCGTTCTGGGGGTGCCCTGATCGTCCCGACTGCCCGCCAGAAATCCAAGCTATGACCCCACAAACAAACATCAACCCTGACCTCCTCTCGTGGCGAAAATAGTGCGACCACCTATTTTGCCCATTGCCGGCCTCTGGGGGCCCTCGTCGGGCCGCAGGGCTGTGAAACTTGACTCGGGACGGAAAGCTGGTCCCGGTGAAGGGCTCCAGACCTCTGCGGGAGCCACGCCGTGAACATGGTCGTGGCGGAGGATGCCTTGGGTTTCTCTGGCCTGCCATCGCCGTGAGGTCCACACGGGGGCGGGCTCTGTGACGCAGTGGTTCCTCCTCGAGCGGGCAAGCGCAGTGACGCTCTGTTGACGTGACCCTTCCCCCCCCGCATCCCCGCCTCGCCCCACCCGTTGTGCCTTTCCCCCTGCACGTGCACTTCCTTTCCTCTCCGTCAGCCCAACGTGCTAACGCGATCTGTGTGTCGCCCCCCCCAAGAGGGACGCGCGCGCCGAGAAATCTCATGGTACAAGCTCCGTGGGCGGCTCTGTCTGGGCATACCGCTCGGGACACGATGTGCTGAAGCATGTTTGTTATTTATGTTAGGGTCGGACGCACGCCTGAGGGGAGTTGTTATTTATGTTAGGGTCGGACGCACGCCTAAGGGGAGGACACCCACTACGAGTATGTCCTTCGCGTCACAGCGAAGGACGAGGAGCAGGACGGAGGAGGGCGAGGAGAGCCCCTGCAGAGCGGTGAGCCCAGCAGGCCTGCAAAACGGTGAGCCCAGCCCAGCAGACCGCCCCAAGTCGAAGGCCAGCGCGGACTTGCTGCGACGTGGGCTCAGGCCAGGCGGCCTTGCGCTCTGGATGTGCAGCTGGGCCGTGAAAACATCTCCTGGAGGAGGCGGCGGCCCTCTCAGTGGCGACCCCCCTCGGCCTTGCCTGGCCTCTCTCCCTCCTCGCTCTTGGTTCTTCACTTCTCTCGCCCTCCCCTTTCGCCCCCTCGTCCCTCTCACCCCGTGATTGTTCTCGCGCCGCCGAGGTGCGTCCATAACAGTGCGGGCGGACCCGCTTCGCGAGGACAAGCTGAGAGTCCTCGGGCTGCCTGCCAGATGTCAATGGCAGGAGCTTAAGGATGCGCAGGGCTCGGGGGATGGAGAGCAGTAGGAAGGGTAGGAAGAGGAGGAGGATGCTTCGATGAGGAGCAGGAGGAGGAGGAACCTTCGATGAGGATGAGGATGAGGATGAGGATGATGATGACGATGATGACGATGATGATGATGCTGATGCTGCTGCTGCAAATGATGATGAGATGATGATGCTGCTGCTGCTGCTGCTGATGATGCTGATGATGATGATGATGATGCTGGTGCGCATGATGCTGATGCTGCTGATGATGAGGATGCTGATATTGATGATGCTGCTGCTGATGATGATGCTGCTGCTGATGATGATGCTGATTGTGATGATGATGCTGCTGATGATGATAATGATGATAATGATGATAATGATGAGGATGTTTGGGGCACAGTGGTTATGATAGTAGAGGGAAGTGATCTGCAGCTTTCTCGGACCGAGGCCGCCCCGCGCTGCGCGCCTGGCGGGCCCGCAGTTGATGCGTGGGGGGCCCACGGCCAGAGCACGGGCTGTTCATTGTGGTTCGGGCCGCCACTGCCGCTGGCAGCCCCTGCGACGCAATCTGGGCCGCACGGGATTCAAGCGAGGACCTCGTCGGGGTGCGCAGAGGAGTCGCGGTCGCGTGGCAGGCTATCGTCGCCCGACTCAGAGACGGCACGTACACTAGCGGGCGGGATCGGCTGCGTCGGTTCCCGCCGTCGGACGACGCAATCGACAGGATCTTCGACGAGCAGCGGGGCTACTTATACGCTGTGAAGGTCTTCAACTGAACCAGGGAGCAATGAAGACGCTGCCATCTGGGGCGCTGCAGCAGACCGGAGACGTTCTGCTTCGTTCGTGACTGTTCGAGCTGTCCATAGCCGGGGCCCGAGCCGCCAGCGCGGCAGCGAGGTGCGAGGTCCGGGTCGTCGGCGCCAAGTTCTTGAGGCTCGATAGCCCCGTCGCCGTGGACGCCCTGACGCAGGACGACTTCAGCGACCTCAAGCTGAGCTCCTCATCGTGGTGCCCGCCGTCTGCCTCCCTTACGACGCCGGCTCGCTGGCCTCCGTAGGTTATGCCTGGGTGACGCTGTGCTGGGCCTTGGGCGAGGGAGTGCCGGCAGACGTGGCCTGCGTGCAGGTCTCGCGGGCGTTTCTGGCGCGACTCACCGAGAGCTGCGCGGGGGACGAGGTGATCGAGTTCTTCGATTCAGCTGGCGGGCACTGGCGGGTCTGCTCAGCCGGACCTGCTCGAACTGGCCGATCTCGCCCTGCAGCCCGACGACTGGAATATCGGGATCCTGCTCCCGCCAGTCGCGTGCCCCGCCCCCCACCCCCCCCGGGGGCGACCCGTGGCGCATCGGCTTCCAGCTCTCCGTCGGCGGGCAGATCGATGGGGAGAGGTACCTCACTGCCGACGAGCACGATGGCGAGGAGACGCGACGAGGTCGACGCAGCCCGCGAGGCTGCCGCGCAGGAGTTGGCAGGTCGGCCGCGTGGCGCCTGCGTGGCCGACAGGGGCTCCTAGCGGAGTCTGGGGGGGGATCCCGGCGGCTCCGCGTCGCCCCGGGGCTCCTGGCGGGTCTTGGGGGCCTATGGTCCCGCCCGCCAGGCGCCCCCCCCCCCCCAAACGGGTGACGCCGCCGCTGGCCGCGCCCGTGGAAGGCCCGCGCCAGCCGCCCTTCTCGCTGCGAGTGGGCGCGCAGGGAGCAGCGCCAGCGCGTCGACGTGTCGCGCGACGATCTGCAGAGCGTCCACGGGGGTTTCATGCGCGACCTGCTGGAAGCCGTCGGCGGCCGACTGATTGGCCTCTTGAGTCGAATCGAGCGGGTCGAGAATCGAAGCATGGGGGCCCGTGGCCTCGCTTCTGCAGGGCCCCCCTTGCCACTCGGGGGTCGCTCCTGCAGGCGGGGCCCTCCGCGAGCGCATGGGCGCCTGCCCCTGTTGTCCCGAGCAGATCCCCATTGCCAGGGCGCGCCGGCGGTGCCGCCCAGGGCCGCGGCTCAGCTTCTGGTGGCGAGTCCCGCCTCGGCGCTTCCCCAGTCCAGGGCGGGGGGGCCCCTCCAACGGGCCGACGGACCCCCATCCGCGCAGGCAGGGCAGCCGCGCGGATCCAGAGGGGAGGGCCGACCTCGACCTCAGGGCCCTCATCGAGGCAGGAGGCCGCGACGCAGGCAAGGCCATCCAGCTTGCGATGGTGCGCGCGTTTGAGAGGGTCGGCGGCTCCAGGGAGGTGGGGGAGGACGAGCCCACCCCGGGCGACCCCCATAGGGGGCGCAGCGTCGAGCTCCAGAGATGGAGGCCCCGTGGCCAGGATCGACGGTGCCAAGGGAGAAACAGGGCTCCTGGTGCTCGACAGGGTCATGGGGCGCGAACCGCAGAGGTCGTTTTCCTGCGTCGACACCGCGGCAGTCGCCGTGCACGGCTGCGACGCTGCGGGCGCGCCGTGGAGCATGGCGCTCTGCGGCAGGCAGGAAAGCAGATTCAGGCGGCTTGAGGACTGCGAGCGCTCCTGGGAGATGCTTGCGCTCCTCCGCGCGCTGCGCAGATCGCCGTGGCGCGACCTCCTCGGCGCCCGGATCGGCCCATTCCCGAAGGCCGCGCAGCCGTCAGTGAACGAGGGCGGCTCCTGGAGGCTGGCCCGGCTGATCACGGGGCTCCTAGGCCCTCGGCTCAGAGCGGGTCAGGCGGCGAGAGGCCTCGCGCGCCCGGGGGAGTTCGCAGTCTCGGTCGCCTACTTGCGGGGGACAGAGGCGCTCGAGACCGCGCTCGAGAGAGGGGGCGGGGGCGCCGCCAAGGAGCGCGTCGTCCAGGACAGCGCCTGGGACAAGAAATCGAACAAGTGGGCCGACAAGAAGGGGCGCGGCGGCGGCAGCGGCGGGGGAGGCGAGCGATCGTCTCCAGATGGGTCCGACGGCTTGGAGAAGCACGGAGGGGTGCCAGCTCAGGGGCCAGGCCGCCGTCGTCGCTATCTACGACTCCGGCTTCTCAGGCCACCGTTGATTCGGTGACCTGTGCTCTTTCTGCAGCTGGCCTGCTGACCTCGTTCTGCGCATTCCTCGAGGCGGGGGTCTCCAAATTCACCCCAGCGGGGCATCTTGCCCCCTGGCCTTGTGAAGAGTAGCACATGCTCCGTGGGCTTTCCTTGAGTGGCGCGAGAGTGGATCTGCGCCGCAGTCGCCAGAAATGCTCGCGCGGTGTCTTCGGGGGGGGGCGTCGGCGGCGCCGGGCCAACGTGTCCGTCGCATATCTCTCGCGGCTCTCGTTAGGGCGCCCCACATGTGGGTCGACGGCGCCCTGCCCCGCCGCGCCCTTGAAAGGCAGCTGGTGCGCCAGCTCGGTGATGAGTGTTCAGGTTGTTCCCTCGCCGAGGAGTCAAAGCCGCTCCTGACAGACGGCGCCGCTTGCATCCATCGGGCCGTGACAGGCTCATGGGCGATTCGTGCTTGGGAGGCAGCGCGCATTCAGTGGAACATCCCACCCTCGCCGCAGACAGCCTCAGCATCCCGTCCAGTGGCGCGGCGATCTTGCTCCAGGAACCAGTCGTGGTGCCGCCTGATTGCGGCTTCATCTTCCGCGCGTCCCGCGTCTTCGACCTCGAGCCAAGTCGCCTTCTCAGTCAGCTGCGCCCCACGTTCATGCGAGTGGGCGGCTGGGCCGCTGTGGCAGCGCGTGCACGGGGTGCTTGGCTCGCGCGGCTCGCGCGTCCTGAGAGCTTCCAACTGCCCGCGGGCGCCCCCGTCCGCGCTGGGCTCTTCGGCGTGGAGAAGAAGGGCGACCTCTGGCTGAGGGGGGTGAGTGGCAGGTGTCGCCGCGCTGCGCTCGAAGTCTCTGAGAGAGGTCCTCCGCGAGTATGCTTTTGGCCGCGGAGCTCCCCTGCTATCGATGCGCCTGCCTCGAGCGTCTCGCCACCCTGACCCATGCGTCGCAGTTTGCAGAGCTGTTCCTCCCGAAGGGCGGGTCCTTGTCGATCTCCGCGGACGACGCTGGGGATTTCTTCGACCTCCTGCAGTGGCCGGGCGCCGAGTTCCAGGACATCATTCTTGGTTTGACCCCGGGGCGAGCGCGATGCTGGAGCAGGGGGTCGCCTGCGACGTGGACTTTCTCCGCCGGCGCGGTCGTGGCAGGATTGCGCCGGCGCTGGGGGCTCTTGCCACGGGGGGCCAGAAGGCCTCGGAGGCGGCCCAGATCGTGCGTCAACATTGCCTGCGATCCGCTGGGTGTCTCCGTGACGGGGGGCGGCTCGCCCATGGTCGGGCCCTCGCCCCAGACCGATTCGTGGAAGGCGTCTACTCGGGCGACCGCGTGGTCATTGGCATCTGCGATGGCCCTGGCGCCTCGGGCCCGCCGCGACGGGCGGCTCTTCGGCGGGCCTTGCCAGGGCGCCGGGCCTGCGATCGTGTGAGCATCAAGAGAAAGGAGAAGAGGCATCAACAGAGCGTCTCGACGTTGGCGGGGAGGTGGTGGAAGCCAAGCAGCTCGGTGTGATCGCCGCGTGCGTCGTCCTCGTCGGGGCCGCGTCGGTCGCTCTCCTGAGGGGGCTGATCGGGTGCTGGGTGCGCCGTCTGATGTTTTGCCGGGCCGCCATGTGTCTCGTGGACAAGCTTTACGCGTGGCTTCACGTGCCCGGCGTTGGCCGCGCGGCGTGGCGCCGGCTGCCGGGTGATCGACGAGCTGGTGGGGCTGGTACTCCTGCTCCCGTTGTACAGGAGCTCGCTCGGCTCCGCGGAGGCGGAACAGGTTCGCCTCGGGCGCCGCCCTCCTCTCGAGGGAACGCCCCGCTCCGTGCCCACCGGGATGATTTCTCAGGTTTTCCCAGAACGTTTGTGGACTTGGTCCGCGCGCCCCCGCGGGGGCGATTGCGAATTTCGGCATTTCCGTTTTGGCGAACGGTTGTGTATTATTCGTTTTTGTAAAGCAGTTGCGTGTTTCATCCGCGCGTTTCTGCTCTTGTGAAATTGCGCCTTTGCGCGTGCGCGACGGCGCGATTCGAGCCGCGCCCCGGGCAATTTCGAGCGC